TGTCTGCAGTTCAGACTATTCTGGTAGGAAACTGAAATGAAGATGTTACAGTTCAATGGCAGAAGTTAGCAAATAGAAAACCTGTAGAAGCTTTAGCAGGCGAAAGTCATAGTGTTCCAGCCTCATTTTGCTACCAGGAAGACAGTAGTATCTGGCGCCAGACTTAAAGTTTTAGAAGCAAAGATAGGATTAGTCTAGATAAGGAAAGTTCCACCGGGAGAATACCACATTTACAGTGACATCTGGTAAACATTACGAAACGTATCTCATTCTAAAGACCATCGAATTATGGTCAAGAATATGTGTTTGTCGATTGCTCTATGTTGATGCGAATACTTCGAAAAAAATAGACAAAACTAAGAGTTTTCACGTTCCGAGCTTTTGGGTCCTTTTGGAAAGGAAAGATCAGATCCGGCTGAAACTTTTATGGTGTGGAGAATCTCCGATGATGAGTCGAACACTGGAAGAATCACGTCTCTACCAGATTCCCATCTGACACACGACTCGGTTTATCACTTTTACCTATCCATCTTAAGGGTCGTTCTTCGATGCCTTGCCCCTGCATTTGAGAATTCTGAAGGTCATATTCTGAACCTTTAAGTTCGCTTCTACAAGAACCAACTGAAATTTCAAGGCATATTGCTGTGTTCTTGAGTTATGTAAATCGAATGAGAAACGACAATGAGGTCCAAATTATTATAATTTATGCCATTGAAACCGACACCCACTTTCATCTTCTGGTTATTGTCTCTACGGTGTATGCGACAGTCGTATTGATCAAGTTCTTTTTCTTTTCTTCCCTTTCTTACTCATTTCTTATAAGTTGAGAGGTGTGTGCGTGGGTGTGGAGAGAGGACTGTCACTGAAGCCGCATTCACACCCACACTCCACACACCCACGCCCACCCACACACTCACAGCCGCCACACCCACAACCTTTTTTTAAGACACCTTAGGTAATAACTATTAAAGATTGAATTGCACTTTTGTTTTGTAAAATACACGCATTTCGTACAACAATGTGGTTACAGATTGAACTTTTCGAAAGAAAACAAGTCGTATAAGTATAGATCCTCAAAATGTGTCAACGTTGAATATCATGTCACAACTATTCAGTTGAATAATTGTTAATAGCATCTATCTTAATTGTTTTTTTTTGTTCATGTTGAAAGTGCAGATCTCATATATTCGTTATTGTATTTTTCTGTTACTGCAGTTTGCAAATTTGCTTACTTGAAATTTTGATGGTTTCACTTGCATTAAATGACATGGGTTTATCTAAAGCGCGATGGGGCCAACATATCTACATACATAAGCTTTTATTTTCAGGAGTCCTGTTTTCTCGTGATTTAGTTTATATAAATGTACCGTTAAATTCGTCTCCTATATGTTAATCTATCAGTAGTGATAAATTTGAATCTCCTGATCCGATTATCTCTTTTGAATCTTTGAAGTAAATGACGAGACAAAGAGCAAAGAATCATTCTAAACTGTTTTTCGTAAACTATTTGAACGGTCATAATTTACGAAACAAATTTGAAAGTTATTTAATTAACTCTACCCTCAAAATCAGGTTGAGATAATCTAACACCTGAAGTACATACTTACGTAGATGCATACAAGAAAGTCATTATTCTACGAAAAAATGACATAGAATAAACTTGACGAAACTTATTATAACATCTCCGCAAATGATGTATTTGCCGGAAAAAATAAATATCTCCCCTCATTCGTTTCTATCGTTCATCTTTTTCTTATCTTTCTCATAAGTACACTTGTTTGCTTTTTAAATAAAGCTGTTATTAATTTTCTGAAAACGAAAAACATCTCTTCGATCAACGGACGAGTCAATAACAACATATCGTCTTCACAATTATGACTAACACTAATTTTTGCTGCATGATGTTAGCTCTCTCTTTCTCTGTTTACGCATCCATTTTTAATACAACTGCATGTCTTCAAAAAAAACCGAACGATATAATTGAAGGAAGATTTAAGAACTATTTTGATATTTGTATGAAACAGATCAAGATATTCGAAGAAAATTCAAAACTTTTTATGCAGTCGATGCCGTATTGTAATTGCATCTGTTAACCAATTTTCTCATAAATCTATTATCAGCTAAGTGATAATATTGTGATGAAAATATACATATGTAATTAATTTTTCATTTTAAAAGACTATATATGAATTTTTCTTACGAAGCTATTAAAAAACTTATTTGGAAAAATTCGAATTATATATTGCTAACGCTTTACACGATTTTAGATCTACTCATATGATGCTAAGCCCTGTAGCTAATTAAAGAAATCTTAAGAGTCTCATGATTCGATTGAAACAATATTTGAACACTAGATTTATACGGAAACTCATCCATCCATAAACAAGTTGAATGTTTATTGGATTCGGACTACTATTGAGCCAAAGAAACACTTTATCTGAGTGGATTTTATAATTCTTATTATGTTCTATGAGTATTTTTATATCTCGCTGCGCTATAAATTACATCAGTAAAACTAATTCTGAGGAAAACATGTAATATATACCTTATAACAAACATAGTATATATGAAATATAAGGAGTAACTTGTGATTTTGGAATCCAAGAAGTGAAGTGCTCTCAATATTCATTTTTTTAAAATTATTTAAAATTCTCTTGTATTACTATTAATATCTACATATTGATTGTATTAGAAGAAAGTGATAGTAGGAAAGTATTAGTTTATATTCTTAGGTAGCTTTTCGATGCTGTTTTGCTGTCGCTCTCACAACCACAGTGGGTGATTATATTATCAGCATTATTCGTCTTGTCATTTACATTTGTATGAGAACTGAAATGGACAATAAAACCACAGAAAGCTTCAAAACAAAGTATATCAATGGCGTTGTTCTAAAAAATTGCATGACTGTTGTTTCAAGCAATCAATTGTATTCTAGAGATTTATTTCATTAAATACAGTGCGTGGTGTCATATGAAACGATCAAGAATCATGTCAAGTGTTGGCCAAATTTGATGCTTATTTTTTGTAAATATATTTTTGTAATAAAAACTGCAATGTTGATTTCTAAAATGAAAACTTACAAATAATCGTTTCGATTACAAGATTATCAATTAATCGATAACTAATTAGAAGTGAATTGACCTGAAATAACTTCAAAGCAACATACATGTCAATTGGCAATACTAGCATGTATTGAGATAAGTAAAACTTCTTTTCTTTTCTAATGAGCAATGAATTAGAATCGAAATTAATTACTGCATGAATTGAAGTACAAGAAAATTCAAATAGGAATAGATAAACATTTTTGGAATTAAACCAGAATTGATGGTTCATAGGAAACTTGTTTTGATTTACATGAAGATAAACGAATACTATCATCTAGGGTAGGGTGCGAGTGTTCGTAGTGGCGTCTACACTCACTCACACCCACACCTATCAAAAGTTATTAAAAAAATATCCACCCGCCTTCGTTTTTAGAATAGTCAGTAGTTTTGAGCAAAACTGAATCTATATCTGTTGTGTATGGAGTACCAATGTTGGGAGGAGATAAAACCACAATAGAATCTGCGTAGGGGGGCTTAGTCGATTCCAAAAATGGCATTTGTTTTCTTGAATTATGCATTTGAATTTTCCTTCTGGTGCAAGAAAAAGATTTTTGTTTGATGATTGTCGAGAAAAATGTGCTATTGCAGGTCAAATTTATTCCGCTTGTGTTTGGAAGAAATCAACTATGCATACAACGTGTTCGTTTGAGTCATCAATCGCCTAAGCTTTATGCACATGTGTAGAATACATTTATCGCTGATTTTCCGTTTCATCCGTGAAATCTTAACTAATATTTTATATCAGGTATAAACATAAAATTGCATAAAACATGAGACATATTTTTTTCCAACATTCATTAGCAATGGAGAAGAAACTGATTTCAACAGCTGAAACCATCGGAAATCACACGTATAACGCAATAGTACCTACAAAAATTGTTTATATTAAATTTTCGTATTACTAAGAATTTACAACTGAGCATTTTTCGTCGTCCAATACGAACATCGGCCAGTGTTGCTAGCATCACATGCAAGAGCATACTCAATAATAAGAGAAAAACGCCCCTACTGAAATCTGATTAATCAATATCAAAAAATTATAAAAAAAGTCAAGTACCAGCAACGATTTTCCCTATTGTAAGAAGAAACATAGTGTCGCTTGGGTTGATCATAATTATTCGACGTTTTCTCTGTCATATTACGCTAACGAGATTTGGTTGCGTTCTTAATCACTTGAAATCATTTGTTTTCGAAAAGAATATGTGTATTTTTGTGTGACGTTGAAATATAAATGTATCGCAGACTTAAGATTCCAGTTTCATGCATGTTGGATTAATATTCTCTTCGATTAAAATATGTTTGACCTATCGATGACAACACTGCCTAATTTGTTCATTAGTGTAAGAATCTTGCGAGTTAACAAAAGTAAACTTTTTCGGTATAAACTGTCAATGAAAATATGGAAGAAACATTCTCATTTGAATTTCAAAAACTTTGTCTTTTCGTTTAGCTTAAATGAAACATTTAACCATGTATGAAACATCGGCGAAACACTCACATCATTCAAATATACCACTAATTATTAATAGTGAAGCAGGAGAATCTATTAAAAGCACCATCTACTTAAAAGGATTGAAACCTTGGATTTCACATTTTCCAATAACAAGTATCATACACTTATTTTGTACTTTCCGTGTCCTTCGCGTTCGATACTTATGCCACTAAGTATTGTTTATGTCATGAAAACTGAAGGATTACTGATCTCAATTTTCTATTATAGGTGAATATAATATACAGTGTGCATGATATTCGATGTCATTCAATTTTGATTGTGTTTATTTCGTCTAATCTGTAAAATTATTAGGTATCAAAATTGAAAATCACTCTTCTATGAGTCCAGAGTATAAAAATGGAACATGCACATAATAACCAGAACCATATTCAAAACACTTTATAATGAAGTCTATCCGGTCTTGGATATCTATTGTAACATGTTTCTTCCTTATTGCTAATGGCATCGCAGCACAAGGTATAGCGAATAAAATTTTGAATAAGTTCAGTTAGAATAGAAAATTGATTGAGATTCATTGATCATTTGAAGAAATCTACAATGAGATGCTTTTATCATTTGTATTTCAGCTGTCCCATCATCTAATGAATTTAAAATCAAACAAGCAGTTCCCGGTAATCGACAAGTGATCGTCACTTGGGATAAAATACCTGAAGCAATAGGGTATGTTTTAAAATATAGTTTGGGTTCTAATATATATGTAATTGGTCTTGATCCTGAGACTACTTCATATACAGTTATTGGTCTTGAAAATGGTTCAACTTATTATTTTAAAGTGATGGCCCGTTCAACAACTGTTATAATGGTCGAAACATCTACAATCTTAGTCAAAGTTGGTCGAACGAGTGGATTACAATCTCATCAACTTGGACTTCTAGTAAATGATAACGATCCAGATAGTATAGCTGTAGCCGAATACTATCGAATACGTCGTCTAATTCCTTCGGAGAATATCGTTCATCTCAGTTTGCCGAAAGTAACCAGATTGACTGCTAACGAATTTACACCATTGAAAAACAAAGTTGATGAACTGATGCCACCAACTGTTCAAGCTTTGGCATTGGCATGGACAATCCCTTATGCTGTTGAATGTAACTCAATTACTTCGGCTTTCACATTCGGAGTTCAAAGGTGGCCCTTGCAAAACAGGAACGTGTGACTTTGCTACTAACTCACCCTTATATGATTCGAATTCGACACAATCATTTACTGATTTTAAAATACGTATAGCGATGATGCTTGCAGGAAAGAATGTTGATCAAGTTAAAGCTTTGATCGATCGTGGAATTGCATCTGATGGAACACAACCGACTGGTTCTGCTTATATTATGAACACAACAGATTCTATTAGAAGTGTTCGTGCCAAAGTCTTTATTAGTTATTATTTAGGAAAAACGATCAGTCCACATGTCAATGTTCAACTTCTGCAAGCTAACTCAATTTCTGGAACTACGGATGTACTATTCTATTTCCAAGGTTTACATGCCGTTAACGACATCACAACAAATAAATATCCACCAGGTGCGGTCGCCGATCAATTGACATTATACGGTGGAATGCTCACTGATTCTGGATCACATATGTCTATTCTAGAATTTATTGCTGCTGGTTTTACAGGTTCATTCGGCACAGTCAGTGAACCATGTTCCTGGACTCAAAAGTTTCCTAATCCACAATTTATGATACAACATTACACCAAAGGTGAAACTCTAATTGAATCCTATTGGAAAAGTATTCTACAAGTATTTCAAGGTGTGTTCGTCGGAGAACCATTGGCTAATCCTTGGAGACAATATATTTCTTAAATATGATAGCTTATCTACATTTTTTGTTTAAAAACTGATGATTTAACAATGCGTTATAATAAAATGTATAGAATTCTCATTACAGTTTCAATTGAAACACATTTCTAAAAGAAGACTAGGCCAAAGTATTCAGTGATTTTTCTTCTAAAATCCATATACGTATAGTAGATAATTTCACATGAAGTAATTTTCTGTGCAGTGTATGAAAAATACTATACCAGTATTTTGGCACACATAGGGTGTGGGTGTAGGTGTGGGTGGGTGTGGGTGTCGGTGTTGTTTGCATGCTTCAATGATATCCGCACCCACCCTCACACCCATCCATCCACATCCTCGGATACATATTAAAATTGTAAGATACCAGTTGCTATGACTCTCATACTTGCTTAGAAATGATAATAATACCATGCATAACTTCAGATTTTATTTGAAGTATACGAGTGCAATAATCTGCCTCTACTCCATTGAATTTGTCTGTTCTATAGAGGAACGATGATTTATCCAACTATTTGCAGAATTTTTTTGAGCCATCGCTAGAGTATTTGAAGAGAATATGAATTGACAACTTTATGACACATTTATTCCACACCAATCATGAAATATATCACAAAGTTCCAACCACCTCTTTCCACGAGTTGAATTGCAGGGCTATAACCGGCACTGTCATTTATTGCACACCACCCTTTATAAACTAGGCACACTAAAGGTATTTTTCTAATCAGCTATCACAAGTCTGTTAAACAAATTTTTCAAAACGGTAAGCTTCATTTCCTCGAAACAAAAAGCTTTCTCTGTTAGGATTTGTAATAATCTCTTTGAGTAAATTAAAGCATCATACATCCAAAAATGATTTGTTTAAAAAATAAAACTCAAAATAGAAAAGAAAACACTGAACATCTTCAGTTTAAAATATTGTATGAACTCGAAGTGAATAGAAAAATCTTAAACGATACCATTTAACCTTTCCTATCTGATATCCTTGAGGATGATCGAGCTTGATTGTTTCATATGTAAAATTAATTTGTTTGAAGTAGTCAATAGTAGTCTGATCAAATTCAGAATGTTCTGGATCTTTTCCTTCTTTCATTATCATTTCGATCAATCATTTTTTAAGTTCATTGTCACAACAGATTTTAATTAGTCTTTTCCATACATCAAATGTTACTACTTGCATTTGAAGTCCAGAATTGTATATTTCTCGCAATTGGAATTGTACAAGATTCGGCATATATTTTAGTAGTTGAGTGATCTGACGAATAATAATATCGTGTCAAACAAATATAAATATACGAAGTCGATGTAAATCAATATTTGGAAGTGTTGAATAATTGAAAGACTGAATGACAGCACTAGGATCGTCTTGAGTATAATCAACATGAAGAACAATCAATTGAAGAAGAGATAAAGCTAATTGAATCAATGCTAACCATG